TATTAGTGTGAATGTTATTGGAAGGTGTCTGACACCAGTATAGTTCAACGACATTACTATAGTTTCTACTACAATGAGCATTACTAAAGTGACAACAAGAATTTGTTGACATTACAAAAGTGTCAACAAGTGTTTGTTGCCATCACAAAAGTTGCTTTGATAATCGTTATTACTTTGTTGTTTTATAATGGTCATCATTATACATTGATATATACCAATCATTATACATTGATAGATATTTATTGTTGCTATACACTGTATATGTTTTATCACTTGAACATTATTTTTAATAGATACCCATATGTGAGTAGATGTTGATTTATTAAAGAGTATATTTATTTATTTTTGTCTACTAGTCTGAATATTAGAGAAATCTTTTCCTTAATAAATAAACATAATGTCTAGTCAAATTTGGGTATCCACTAAAAATCACATTTAAGTAACATAAATCTATCAGTTTAATTAATAAAAAGTTCATTACTTCTTTAGAAACACTAATATAAAGGGTGTTTCATTAAGATGGATTATATATAAGGGTGTTTCATTAAGACGGAAAGGATGTTTCATTTAGTCGGATTATATATTAAGTGTGTTTCATTAAGATTAAGTCGGATTATATATGGTGTTTCATTAAGATTATATATAAGGGTGTTTCATTAAGACGGATTATTTTATTAAGATGGATTATATATAAGGGTGTTTCATTAAGATGGAAATAAAATAAGTGTTATTGGTGAAAATTTATTTATTTCTCTATTGGATCATGTTATTTAAGTTATGGCAATTATGTGTAAAAAAATAATATCGCCCAAATGTCTGCCAAATCATTAGACGCTTAAACTTAATTCACATTTAAAATCAGTCCAAGTTATTGGGACACCCTTTATATATACATATATCATTATTATACATTGATATATATTGACCATTATTGTGAATTGATTTATACTGATAATCATTGTATATTAATATTTATTTAGCATTGTAATACATTGTTTTATATTGATAATCTTTATGCAATATTATATATCGATCATTATACTCATTTATATAGTTCATCATTACACAATTATATATAATGATCACTATTAATATACTGTAATTTATATTCATCATTATTGTATATGGATTGATATTAATCATTATTATACATTGATTTATATTGATCACTATTAATACACTATAATTTGTATTAATCATCATTATACATGGAATTATAATTTTACATTGATTTACATTGATAATTATTGTTATACATTGACTTATACTGATCAGCATTATACATTGATATTTTTCTTGATATATTGTTTACTAGCCTAGAAGCCACACTTCAGGCAAACTTTAGGCTAATTACTGCAGTGGGCTTTTGGGCCTTGCCTTCAGACTTTTACCTTCAGTGTCCTATGTACATAAAAATTATAAGAACTTAGAAATGATAAAATTATTTTATCTTTATTCAACACTTTAATTCGGCATAATCTTTCTTTGTATACACAACCTATCTCCATAGTTTGTTTACATTTATTTTGCACGCAATTTTTATTTTCTTTTAAAATCACCATTCTTTATCACCCCTTTGCATAAAGTCACTCTTAAAAGCTACTAGGGAACTAGATCTATGTAAAATTTTGAGTATGTCATAAGATGCATACTAGAAAAAGGAAAAAAAACTATATGAGCAATGTACCGTACCCCACTTAAGTTCTAATTACAGGTTAATTAAACGATATCAATTGCAATGAAAAGCAAAATTAAAGTTCAACCTTTAATAAAGAATTGTTTTTAAAACTTTCACTCTGTTTGATATTTAAATTTAACTTTAAATGATTTCTTTATTTAATTTTTAATTGCATGTAACTACAGTAGGTACTAACCTGTTACTTCAGGTTGTTTATGATTAGCTGAGACCGAAAAATGGACGAACAGACAAACACAGATGAGTATTATTTATATAGATCATTGTTATATATTGATATATATTAATCATTATACTCTGATTGATTTTATACATTAATTTGCATTCGTTTACATCATTGGTAAACACTGATTTACATTGATCATTATAAATTGTTTTATATTGCCTCATTTTACATTGATTTACATTGATCATTATACACTGATTTACATTGATCATTATATATTCATTTATATTGCTCATTATTGTTATACATTGATCATTATACATTGATCATTATACATTGATTTATATTGATCATTATACAATGATTTACATTGATCATTATACATTGATCTATATTGCTCATTATTGCTATAAATTGATCTATACTGATTATATTCATTATACGTTGATTTACATTGACCATGATTATACATTAATTAATTATTAAATTTTGCAGTTATCAAATCTTTGTTTAGATATATATTTAAACAAAAATTTTATACAGAAAAATTTAATAAATAACAGGAACAATGAAAATAATAGTCCCCTTAAAATGGTTTTCATTGTTCCGGTTATAAATAAAATAATAATTTTCACCAAAGTCCTTAGAAATTTATCACCCCCGCTACCATTTTATTTAATATTAAGATGTTGATATCTGTCCTATTTAAGGCAATTAATATATATATAAACCTGTTGAACCATACTATGTTTGCCACAAGGCTGTATATGTGTGAGAGAGAGAGAGAGAGTCCAATTACCCATTAGAACTGTAGTAGCACCACGTGATTTGCAGCCACAGTAACCGTGGCATGTCTAGTACCTCTTCAGCCTTGTTTTGGATTCAGATCCAAACGCCATTCAGAAACTGGTTGAGACCTCAAAGCCCAATCAGCCCTGCTATTTAAAATATAACCAGGGGAGAAAAGATAGATTCATACTTTTTCCCAAGGGTATTTGTGTAAAAGCGAACATAACAAATTTTTGAACTTGCCTTGCTGATTACTTTTTTTATTTTTTAACTGAGATCACCAACAATTCACAGTGTCCACGCATTTGGGTACTTCCACGTGGTGTACTGGTTAGCAAGGTTGCCTTGCTAGATCATTTACGACTAAGTAGTGAGTTTGATCCTCACTGTATGCCATGTACTTTCACTCACTTTTCGTTGTATATTTTCACTTTGTGCCACATCTAAGCTACACTTCGGAAATCACCAGATACCCTGATGTGGTGTAATGGTTAGCAAGCTTTTCTTGCTAGATCAATTTCGACTTAGTGAGTTTCATCCTCACTGGGTGCCGAATACTTCCGACCTTGTGCCACTATGCTTAGAAAAACATCACGCTACCCACGCATTATGATTTTTGTTTTGTTTTTTTGTTTTTTCAGGAAATTTCCATACCACAACCATTTCCATACCAAAACAGCAAAAAGAAATCTTCAAATTTAACGTTTTCACACAGCCATGATGATGAAAGCCTACTTTCTTTTGCCCTTATTTTATACTTGCTTTTGTGCAGAATTCACTTACTATGTAGAAGAAGAGAACGACCCAAAGACGTTCATTGGAGATGTCGGAAAAGAATACAGACTGAAGAATGCCAATAATCCTGAGGTACAACACCAGTGGTTCACTCTTTTGCTTGAAGATGCAAATCACCCAGTATTTCATGTAACAAAACAAGGAAAATTATACACAACCCAAACGCTAGATGCAGAAACTCTTTGCATACAGAATACAGAGTGCAGCCTGAGATCAAAAGTAATTGTCAAGTTTGGTCGGAACTTCATAAAAATTCTCAAAGTCAAGGTGATTTTACAAGATATTAATGATCACAAGCCTGAGTTTCCAGAAAGGCAAATCAGTGTTCAGTTCTCGGAAAGTGACCGGCAAGGAAAACTAGTACTTGTCCCTAACGCTGTGGACAGGGACATCAGTTTGGCAAACTCTCAGATTGTCTACAAGCTGAAAAAGAAGCCAGACGATCCTTTCGCTCTGTCAAACATTGAGGATCGGACTTCAGAGTTGAGTATTTATTTAGATGGAAAGCTTGACAGGGAATATAAAGATAGCTACACCATTCAGGTGGCTGCAGAAGATAAAGGGAACCCTCCCCAACAAAGCATTTTAGACGTACATATAACAATATCAGACGAGAACGATAACAAACCTATCTTCTCCCAGAACATCTACAACGTGACAATCAAGAATGAGGCATATGGAATTATGCCAATTGTCAAGGTCTTTGCAACAGACTTAGACATTGGCAAAAACGGGGAAATTTCTTACCATCTCAGCTCTCAGACCTCCGAGTTTGTCCGTTCTCATTTCAAGCTCAATAAGATTTCTGGAGAGATCTTCTTACGAAAGAAATTTGCCTCGGACAAGAATGCTTCCTATAAGTTGTTTGTGAAAGCTATGGACAGTGGCTATGCGCGTCTAAGTGATCTGACATTAGTACTAATCAATGTTGTCAGTTCGCATAACACCGCACCAAAGGTATCGACGTTATTACTAGCACCGGTTTTAGAAGACATCAGTATCGGCGGTTTTGTAGCTTATATCAGGGTCATTGATAATGATCCAGGAGAAAATGGTGACGTTAGTTGCAATTTAGAGCATAAAAGATTCCAACTTGAAGCTCTTGGTCCCAAACAGTATAAAGTGGTTGTAAAGAGTCCCTTAGACAGAGAAACACAAGCTCAATATGATATTACAGTAAGTTGTAAAGATGGAGGAATACCACCTTTACATAGTGAAAAAAAAGTTTTAGTCAAAGTGGTAGATGTTAATGATGAGAGACCACGGTTTTCGCAAGATCTTTTCAAATTCTGGACGTACGAAAACCAGAAGTCAAATTTTCCAGTTGGTTTTATCAATGCTACCGATCCAGACGAAGGTCCTAACGGTGAGTTAACCTATTCATTGCCACCTGACAATAAACGTTATCGACCTTTTCAAATTGCCAGCAATGGACTTATTTCAACAACAGAACCTTTGGATTGTGAATTTCAAGAGACGTACGAATTTCAAGTGATGGTTAAAGACAACGGCACACCGTCTTTAAATAACACGGCAAATATTGTTATAAAAATCATGGATGTAAACGACAATGTTCCTTATTTCGTATATCCCGAAACTGACCCCTATACTTTTGAAATCCATTACCCCCCTTTGCTCACCCCAAATAATATTACAGTAGTACAAGCCCGAGATAACGACAGCAGAGAAAATGCATTTTTAAACTATCAGATTGCTCGGGGAAACGATAAACAATTGTTTAACATCAATCGATACAGCGGCCAGTTATCGTTTAACCCTATCGTAACCAAAAACGACGAGGGCCTGTACAATCTGCAGATCGTCGTCAAAGACAGTGGCTATCCCGTTCAGTCAGCAATGACAACTCTCAGCTTGCTTCTGACCGTTGCAAACGAAACCACCCAGAGCCTCTCCGCCGTCCAGATAACATCCGACATTAAGGTACACAAAAGTCTGGCTGTCGTGACGGTCCTGATTGCGATGACAGTGTCTGTTATTGTTGTTGCTTCCGTCACTCTGGGTGTCGTCAGGGCCAAAGACCGTTTCCAGAACGCACGCGAAGAAGACAGTGACGATTCAGGCAAGTGCTTAAGCAAGCAAAGACGGCTGATGGGGTTCTCGCAGCAGACCATACCCCAGTTTGGATGCTCCACTTCAAAGCCAGAAGCTTTGGACAAGATCAGAGATTCGCGGCTCCTTACTTTCCGTCAAGAATCAGATTGCTTTCTCAAAGAATCTGAAAACGACGAGCAAAGATGTGATCCAGCTTTATCTACAAATAGAAATCAACAGGTAAGTTCAATTTTTAGAATAAAATAATTCATGCTTACTGATTGTGGCCCCGAGCAATGCATTGCGACCCTCGCTATCTCATCAACATTTGCTTTTTCCTACCAATGTTTATGCACGTTGCAAATTAAACTAACCGCAACTGACAATGAAAGGATGAAAAAATTTTCCGTGATTTTGACTTCATTCTAGTGTCTTTTTTTGTCCAAATCCGAATCCATTAAGTTGTTTTGCTCATTCTAAGTGTCGAAAAAAAACAAAAAAAAACACTATATAAAATTCACTATTTTTTATTTATAATGTTGAATAAAATTATGCAAATTTTTAACAAGAAAACACTCAAGTTAATAATTTTTAAAATTGCTGCAAAACACTGTTGATTTATTTAAGATGGAATGATCTATTATGAGATTGTATTTTTAGATGCATTGTATTTATTTTCAATTTTTCTAGTTGAATTGTTTACCTATATTGCATATGATCCATTAAAATATATATATATCTGTTACATTTTTAAATAAAATTTACATTTCTTTTGATTTGAAGTACTTTGTATGCATAGAACAATACGGTACGATGGATAAATTGTCGTCTAAATTACGCAAAAACGAAAATAACACTGACATCTCATTTTAATAGATATATTTACCAAAATTACACAAAAATACCTTAAAATACCAAACAGTAAATTTATTCAATAAAGGCCTCCAGACGACTTTGGAATCTCCTGCATCTCTTCTGGACAGTCTTCTTGTTTAAGTTGTTGAGTGCTGCCATAATCTTTGCCTTCAGTTCATCTTTGGTGTTAAAAGGAGTTTTGTTGGTCCGTCACTCAACTGCATCCAACACATCAAGGGTGTTGCAGTCTGGGAAAATTGTTTGACAGCCATGACTGTGTTCTCCTGCTTGCGTGGCATGGTGCAGATCATGTTGCCAGACATAGGGTCTTCTTCAATTCTTCAGAAGGTGTCCCTTGTTTAAGTTGTTGAATTCTGCTATAAGCCTTGCCTTCAATTCATCTTTGGAGTTACAAGGAAATCTGTTGATCATTTGCTCAACTGCGCCCTACAAATAATAATCAAGGCGGTTGCAGTCTGGGGAGTTAGGTAGCCAGATGTAAGGGGTGATGTAGTTGTAGAAATTGTCTGACAGCCATGCTTGTGTGGTATGGTGCAGGGTCCTGTTGCCAGATATAGGTTCTTCCAGTAGCCACCCTCTTGACCCAGGGTAGCATAGATACATAGATATATATTTAGATAGATAGATAGATAGATAGATAGATAGATAGATATGATGAGAATTTAAATAGATAGATATGAACACACTGACCTGGATAGATAGATAGATAGAGAGAGAGAGAGAGAAAAAAAATTGACAAAGTTTTCAGTTCATAATTCCCTGTATGTTACACAAATTGATATATTACCTGATGAAGCCCTGAGGATACAATGGTGAAACATGATAAGAACAACAAAGATGAGAACAATAGTCCAAACGTATATAAAATTGCACGAAAAAGAATATAATCTTTTTATTTAATTATTTTTTATTTAATAAATTTTTGTCTTATTATTAATTTTTTTAAATATTAATATAATATATTTGCACATTAAGTATATCATATGCACTTCAAGATACTGTCTCCTGTGGTGAATAATATTTTATTTATTTGGTGAATAATATTTTATTTATTATTTATAATATTTATATTATTTTTATATTTTTATGGGCTGTTTATTTACACATGACATAACCAGAGACTATTTCATACACCCAGCTTTCCAATGTTAAACCAAGATGTAGACAAAGGAATTCTGACTACCACACAGACACCACATTGGTTATTGAAAATGACTTAAATGGTCAAAATTACTTGGACAAAACAATAACAAAATATGTCTATCCATGATTTTGAGCACAATACTCAACAAGGTATTAAAAAATTGTAAAAATACAATAAAAAGGTTAAGCAAACAAACCTTGCCAGTTCTTTTTAATCAAATCTGATTGGATGAATAATTGATACCTAAATATATCTTATTCACACACACACACACACACACACACACACACACACACATATATATATATATATCTTGGTTTCAACCTTACAGTATCCGCAGGCAATTTTTATCGAATGACATCTTAACACTTTATTATAAAAAAAAACTAATGAACGCTGCATTATTTTTTAAAAAATAAATAAACAAACACACCACAACATTGGGTGTAATAGAAAGGGAGGAGGAGGATGTGGTGAAGAAGAAGAAGAAGAAGAAGAAGAAGAAGAAGAAGAAGAAGAAGAATTGGTGAGGTGGGGTAATTGAAATTTACATTTTTTTATCATATGTTCTTAAGAGGAATTTCTTAATATATATGCAAGGACTCAAGACATGAATTTCAAAAAGTTCTTTGGATCAGGAAATGTCATAATTGCTATTTTTTTCCTGTTGGCAGATGTTGCAAATATTGTTGTGGTTGTTGTAAGGCTTTGCCTTTTTTTAAATTTCCCAGCTTACTTTCAGATCCCGGTTGTTGTTTTTTTTCTTTTAAATTCCACACATGGTCAGTAAGTTTGGTAGAGCACCTAAGACTTACTAGCTTGAATGATGACCAGCGATTGTACCATTTAGGCTTGAAGTACCTTCAGTACATCTTATGCATGTTTTATTTTGGCCATTAATATCTGATACTTTTGCTTTATTGATTATTGCTTCAGTTTTACGAGCTCCATCTAATGGACATCTCTTCTTATTTCTATAGTTGCATAAATTACTAGTGTTAATTATATTTTGCTGCTCGTTAGTTTTGAAATTTCTGGTATTTTGTCTATTTATTATTTTTTCAAATTACTAGTACAACTGTAGCTTAATTTAACTGTGTTTTTATTGAATATCTTATAAAATTCTGAATATTTTTGGAAGTGTTTAAATCTTAAAAAATAATTTCTCTATTTTACATTTTACCTCTGACATGTCCCAGAAAGGGATATATTTGTTCGAAGTAGCAAAGCGGTTGTTGACTACTGTAACTGAGTAGGACAATCTAGCAGGTAATCATAATGGACTGGTCCTCGTCGTAGTGGTAGGCAATAGGCGTAGGCAATAGGTGTAGGCAATAGGTGTCATCCCTGTACCTCCACATCAGTCTGTATTTATTTACACCAGCCAATTATATTACTATGAGGGGGAACCCAGGTGTATGCATATTCATTACATCAACCTCTAAGTTAAAGGTGGGGTTAAAGTAAACAACCATAACTCATTATTTTTATTGAATAGAAAATTATTCCTAAAATTGTTATTTTTATCAGATTTTTGAAACTCTTGGAGTTGTTTATGCTTGTCAAAGAGTTGGGGAAGCATATGATGCTCAATGTATTGCCCTAGCTGTAAAATTTAGAGGTGGGAGCATAATTGTTTGGGGTTGCATGTCGTCTTCAAGGAGAAAAATGTATATTCACAAGTGAGGGTAGAATGAATTCCAACATTTACACAAGCATGTTAGACCAATGTTTCCAACCTTCATTAGAGAAAATTTTCAACAATAACATACCAGATAGAGTAATCTTCCAAGAAGACAACACTCCATGCCACACAACCAAAGTTTCAAAGGGTTAGTTTGAAGAGAAAGAAGTGAGGTAATGAAAAGTGGCTGCCACAATCCCCTGACCTGAATCCCATTAAACATCTGTGGTCATGCTTAGGTACAAGATTGAGGGTGCACAAGTATTCTTCAAAATGCAAATTGGAAGTCAAACTTCATGAAGAATGGCAGAAAATCAGGCCAAGTACTTGTGCTAAGCTAGTTTCCAATATGCAAAAGTGCTTAAAGGCAGTTATAAAAGCAAAAGAAGTCCACACCAAATATTAAATATAGGTTAAATTTACTTTAAAAAGCTTTGTTCTTTTTCTTTAAAGATAAAATAAATGAGATCCAGTTATATTTCTAACTTTTATACACCTGCCCCATAATTTTGTCTATAGCTGTATATATATATATATATATATATATATATATATATATATATATATAGAGAGAGAGAGAGAGAGAGAGAGAGATACAGGGCGTCCATAAAGTTCGTGTGCATTTTAAAAAGTTTATAACTTTATTTGTATTTGTGATAGAAAATTTTTTTTTAAAGGATTAGAAAGAAGTAAATGTATATTTTTTAAAGGTTTTATTGAAATTTTATTTAAGTTTCCACATGTCCTCCATCATTAGCAATACAAAGGGTAATATGGTTTTGCAGTTCACGGAAAATATTTGCCAACTGATTTACAGTAAGGCCTGAAATCACATTAGTTATTTTAGCTATACTTAAAACTAGATACATTAAACTTTATAACATTTTTTACAGATTATTTCTATTTCAAATACAAATAAAGTTATACATTTTTTAAAGTGCACACGAACTTTATGGACACCCTGTGTAATATTACTGATTCTTCTTTGGATTTTATCATGAATCTCTAGATATATAGCCTGTGCACTGGATTGTATGTGGCAGCAATATTCAAAGAATGAACAAATGGTAGAATTATAAATGCATTAAGATAAATACTGGAGAGAAAAACTGTCCAGTGAAACACAATTTTTCAAAATTAATATTATTCTACTTTGCCCACAGAAACAAAATTAATTCACAAAACTCAAAAAACACCAAAAAGGGCAAAATTATTCCACATCCTGACCTGATACTAATAGACAGTTTTGCATCATTTTGCTGAATAAACATCTGAAGTTTTCAAAATCTGAAATTTAAGTACACTCTAAAATATTCTTAAAGCTATGTAAAGATAAAACTATGTAGGATTCTAAGTGATGTAATTTAACGCCTAATAAGCAAAAGTGTGTAAATGTTGTTATTGTTGCTGAATTTTTGTTTCCTTCTTTTGTTTATATATATATATATATATATATATATATACACACACACACACATATATATATATGTATTTTATTTTTAATGTAAGTATTATTTATTATTTTATTTTAATTTGATAAATTATTTATGCATTTATTTATTT